TGTGTATTCAAAGAACCTGGCACCAACTCGTATATCCGCCTTGCAGTCCCCGGAGGAAAATACGTCATTCATTACCCGGCAGGGTCGATTATTCAAGGATTCACCGAGAATGGGTCCAAGCTGAGCGGTGTCCACGCTGTCTTCCAGGTGAGTTCACCCAGTCCAATGAGGAAGGACTTCGTCTCAGCATCGAATCAGACAAAGGAGGAGGGAGAAACCGTCAACATTGTCGGGGAGGGTCTTGATGAGCACCCTGTGAGAAGGGCGTATGTGAACTCCCTCAGTCAGGCAAGGGCAAAACTTTGATGGACACGTGAATACCGAGTGAACCGGATAATCTCGAGTTTCCACCCCAGCTCGACCATCACAAACCATCACGCTTTACTGGGGAGGCGGGTACGTCAGGGGAGATACGCGTTCGAAGACCGAAGATTGATACGCGATATGGCAGTACAAGGAACGTTTCTCATCTGTAATATACACAAATGGTTAGAAAGCCTTGCGAGACAACCCTACACGTCCAAACCAATGATGAAACTACCTTCGTCACTAATGATTTTGTGCTAAAATAGGATGAGGGTTTAGGATTGTCAGTAAGTTCAGGTCGTTGAGTTGTTCCTAGCTCGCTTTACCGAGGGCCGTCACACCACAGTTATGGGTGACCTCGCGGCCCAGTGCGGTCAACCAATACCAACTGTCAAAGCACACTCAAGCTCACCTGCCTCGGGTTTCGTCTTCGATTGACCGCGTTCTTCCTTGATACAGTGTTACACCGCTTAATTTCGGTCACCTATTCCATATACCGCTTGCAATTGCCAGCAGGTGATCGTGCCGGCTTCTCATCGCTCATGATGGATACATCACAAGATCATTAGGAACAGCATCGGATGTGGTTTCCTACAGCGGAAGAGGCACATATCCGAGAATCCACTAGGGCCTACGCCACTACTATCCTAGCAAGGTCAAGCTCCCTTACAAAGCAGAAGCCGCAGGATATCCAAGAACCAGTCGACTTGTCGACGGGCAAAGGATTGAGAGTGGATGTAAATATTCGAACGAAAAGTGAATACAAGAACAAGCTGCACATGGATTACTCCAGAGTCCACACTTCCATAATCCAAGCATTGAATCCCGACCGTCTTGGCTAATTCTTGAGCGTAGATCTCTGATGGAACCCTAATTCTGGGGTCACGGCGCCGGCGGGATCAATATCCAATGGGAGGGAAGAGTCTAGAAGAGGTTCGCTCGATATGTACGGAACGGTAATTTGTCGGGATAGATGTATCTAATTGAGTTACGCTAGCGCGGTGCTCGTATTTGCGCTTTAAGATTATGGACGAGTCACTCTATAGTACAGCGCCGACACTCGACCGTAAGGGGGCAGCCGAAAGCCCACAGGGAGCGCCTGAGGTTTGCAGTAGGAATTTAAGGACTTTTGAGGCTTAGATTCCCACAGTGTGGGCACGTCCATTGCGCACATCAAGTCAGGGTCGGGTGGAATGATTTCAACTTCAGAACGCGCCCCAATCTCACCCAGGACTGACGGCACGCTTTCAGGAAGCAGCGGGAAGTAACAGGTAACCCCAGGACGGGAGGTCGGGTAGAAAAAGCGACGGTCAGCATATCTGCTGTTGCCGTGTTGGCTGTAATATGTGACTGATCAATCATTCTGCCGTTCATTCTATTCTTCAGAAGACACACACGGGTCGCAGCTGGCCTTTCGCTCGGAATTCCGAGGAACGGCAAGGCCAAATCACACACATATATAATGAAGCACCTGGAGGATTTTTTTTAGCAAAGTTCCTATCGCCATGTCCCTCACTCGAACGGGTCTTACCTGCGTTCAGGCAGTTGCGCACTACTATGCCATGACCCCGCCACACAAAACGAAGAAGAAAGATCGGTATCATACAGAGGAAATATGGATTTTACAAATTGCACCCTACGTCTTTTTTGTGTGTTCTCTCTTTCTAGCATCCCACCGACGCTTCCTGATCTTCCTTCACAGTCACATACCGCTTTCCTTTGCTTCTGTACGATCGGGGAAATACTATCATATCTTTTTTCCCTCTCACCCACGGTCTGCGCGTCTCTTCCTCATGGTGTTTCATCCTGCTCGTCCTCGATTTTGCCAACAACAACACCTCTATTTCTCATCGGAACTCTATCCCTCCTCCTGGGCACTTGGATCCGATTGGATTGTTTCAAGGCCCTCGGGAAGCTGTTTACTTTCGACCTTACCGTACACGAAGACCACAGGCTCGTCACGGAACGATTTTACGGATACGTACGACACCCGTCGTATACTGGATCCCTCCTACTTGTTCTCGGGATAACGTTGGCACATCTCACTGAGGGTTCCTGGTTCATAGGCGCCTCAAACCCCTCAGGAGGTTTGGCGCTTCGGTTGCTAGGGACAGGGGTCTGGTGGGTGTATTGCCTCTCGGTCGGAATTTCGAGGGCACGGGCAGAGGATAAGCAGATGCACAAATCATTCGGAGAGGAGTGGGAAAGGTATCGAGATCGGGTCTGGTGGTGGTTTTTCCCTGGAATCTTGTAATCGAGATGGAGGTGAGGTTTCCTCGTGCCTCCAATCTCGTGGTCTTTCCTTCTGATTCGACATACCCAAAATTATATGTAGATCCGAAGTACTTGGCTTTCGGCGCTCGCGAGCTTCGACATATGATACCACCATTAGAAGTCGAATATCGACTGTATCGACTGCATCTTCTATCTAGACGTCGTTTACACGCCGCCATCTATTCTTTATATCCTGCTGGCAGTCACTCTACATCCCTGACTTCTCATTTCGATTCTGATTCTGAAACTTCTGATCTCGAGTAACCTCACTCCATTTATTCACAAGGCACAAATCGATGGTTGGCAGAGTCAGTCACTGTCCCAAACGTCTCAATGACGGATATCACGCTGCTACACATTAATGACGCCAAGAATGCAACGCGACTTCTTGCTAGGTATCGTTTACTGTGGTTTACGGAGATACGCGGGAATACAAAGGCCTTAGGCCAAAACTCCCGATCACCCAAGCAGTCATCATTAAAGCTGTCTAGCGAGATGCGCCGAGAGGAGGCGGCTTGTCAGATCCCGTTTTCGAGAACCTGTACGATGTTTCTTCGTAACATTGCATCAAGGTGAAGACGTATCCCCAGTGTTCATGAGGTTTCAACCCTCCCGGTGTTCGAACCGAATAAGGTCAGATTAATCACCGTTTGCATGTCGTGACTTCTGTTGCCGTTTGGTAAGTAGAATGTTGAATTTAGTACAAATTAGGAGAGTTTTGTCTTTTTATCTTTTTATCTTTTTATCTGTTCCTGAGCCAATCTTGGTCCTGAATCGGTATTGACCTCATGCAAACGATATAAATAACCGACCTTAGCTCAGTTGGAAGAGCACAAGACTGTAACGGTTACCTGTCATATCTTGGGGTCGCCTGTTCGAACCAGGCAGGTCGGATTAGCAGCGAAGGTAGAACCTTTTTTATTGATGGAGGTCCTGGAGACTTTAGCGTTCTGTATCGACAAATTAATGAGTTTCTGACGAACAGCGCACTCCATAACCATTTTCTTGAGACTCCTCCCCGTCATGTCCTGGGATGGCTGCTCAGTGCACACCCCTAGTCTAAGTATCATTTGTCGCCGTCCTTGTATCTTGTACATTTCTCTATGGGACCTTCTATCTACAGCTTAAGCATTACCCGTCACGACTCAATGAGCTCAGAGAACGCCGAGCCGAAGACTCGTTCGCGACTCTAAGCGATTCCCCTCTCGTTACGCTGCGGTCATCCAACCATTCATCGCCAATCCTCTTCGATTCTTGTTTGTCGCTGTCTGGCAGCCTTTACGTTTAGCGCTCCAACATATATATAGCTGTGTTCAACTCGACGACTACCATTTCCCCCCAACTCTCCACCACCACCGGTCCCCAGCCCGTTCCCTTACTTTCACTATGGTTGAGACAGCAGTCATCGTCGGAATTGCCGTGCCCTTCACAATGGTCGCCGTCATGATTATTCTCGGTACAGCCTACTATCTACGGAAGAAGAGAAGAATCCAGAAGGCGCCTGTCAGCTCAAACGCGTCGGTGCACAAGTTTATCAAGGGTGGAAGTAGTGGAGGAAAAGGGCATTCTTCAGAGTGGTCGGAGGACGAGACTGATAGTGACCGGCTGGTTCGCGGAAAGTCCGAGGTATGAGACATGGAAGCATATAAAGTTTCCTCTCGGGGACTCGACGTTGGGTTACTGAATGAGAACATTCTACAGGTTTGAAACTCATTCCAGTTGGAATACCGGTATTAACGGGGTTGGGTTGAAATCATAACGGGGATCTTCAACTTCTTTCGCCACACGCAGCCTTGCGTTCATCCCGCTCTCAGTGACAAACTTACTGGAGGGATTCACCTTTTCATTTCTTTCCTTGCTTCTCTTGGGGTTCACATTAGAACGGACAATGGACACGCTCATTTTTTACCGCCGCTCGTTAACAATCATTACTAGTATCATTACAAGCTCCACAAACGAACGCATAATTTGTACATGAACATTGAAGGCAATGACCAAACCCTTGGCCAGTGGCTGCTGTCAAAGCTCGATATGAAAGGACCCCGTTTCGTCCCTGATAGTTGAGGTACATATTCGGCAATGTTTCGAATGTTCTTGGGTCTGTCTTCCTGTCATATACGCCTCGCTTAGCATTGCGAGATAACTATGATTTCGGCGTCTCAGAGCACGCGATCCAGGTATCTCGATTATGGAATTGAAACTCGTGAGAGCATGGCGACGAGGAACCCTATAAATACACTGCAACTATAAATATACAATGTTTCCGTACGTACAGCAACATAATTTCAAGCGATCAACCTGCTGATCTGGCCCTGGTGACTAATCAATGGTCCCAAACGGCGCGAAGAGCACAAAGTTTGAATCAGAAGCAAGATGAGTTATCGATCTGTCTTGCAGCTCGGCGAAATTCTCCCTGCATAGCCGATTTAGCTTAGTGGTAGAGCGTTGCACTTGTATGTTAATGACATCGGCGTATAACTAGACTCGATGCAAAGGTCGGTTGTTCAATCCAGCCAATCGGCAGGCATTTTTTGTCGAATTGACACTTGATATTTCAATATGGATGCCCACACCCGCTCTCGCGCCTGTCTCCTGGAAGCGCATCATAATTGAGGTCAGCTACTCGTGATTACAAAATGAGGTTTGCTGTTTCGATTACTGGTAGTCAATGTGCGAAAGGTTGGGGGGAAAAATACTGCCCCAGTGAGGCTCGAACTCACGACCTTCCGATCATCTATTCACACCCCACTAGGAGTAACAGTCGGACGCTGTAACCAACTCAGCCATGGGGCACTGAATTTAAACCCATTTTGGCCCTGTATAATACCTCGGCAACGGCCTCATCTGGAACTGTCTATTCTGGGACATGTTTTACCGTTTCAACGCGATTCTCAATCCGATGCTCTCCGCATATAAGTCATGGGCGAGTCATCATCGGGAGGTGTCGGTGGAAAGAGGAACAGATCGAGCTCGTACCGGGACTATACCTATTTGGTCGGTGCTGTTTTCTACTTATAAGGCCAGGGACAGCATATAGATGTCTCAGCATTTCAATCACCAATCCCCCGCCGACAGAATACTGAAATGATCACCGTATATGACCTTGGACCTAGCAAGATCCCCGAAAGCTTGGGAGCTTCACCCAACGACCGAAAGGTTATGTGAGCCTTGCTATGGAGGTTACGGCTGACATACATCCCTCTCACCGTGCTTTTTTCCCTAGTCTCACAATGAATTACAAGAAGCTTCCATTCAAAGTCATAATAATCACGATGGACGACATTGAAGGCACCGCCAAATCAATTGGTGCCCCTCCCACGTCTAGAAAGCCCGACGGCACACCCCGGTACACCGTTCCTTTTATTCACGACTCCGACACCGGAAAGTGTATTTCAGACTCGTTTCGTATCGCACAATACTTGGACGAAGCTTATCCCGAGACCCCGAAAGTCGTGCCAGCGGGGACGGAGATTCTACAAGCTGCTTTTATACAGATCGTAGAGGAGAAGCTGGCCCCGATAGGAGAAGTTTATCTCCCGAAGGTCTCAGAGCTTGCATCGAGTGAAGCGATGGAGAGTAGAGCGAGGAAGTATGGGGCTATTCCACCTCCATTGCCTGCGGAGGAACAGGTGAAGATATGGGAGAAATTAAAAGTTGGCTATGATGGACTGAAGGAAGCGTATGAGATGGGTGATCGTCACAATCGCGATGGAAAGGAGAGAATCTTCCTCATGGGAGATGAACCAGTATTCGCTGATCTTGCTTTCGCGGCCTGGATCATTATGGTGAAGATTACTTGGGGTGATGAGAGCGAAGAGTGGGAGAGTGCAACTCGATGGGTCGATGGTCGAGCTGGAAGGCTGGTCGAAAGAGTTCTCAAATACGAGAGGGTCTCTCCTCGTGTTTAGGCTAGTTCTTAGTGTCAATCTATCTATGATTCTGGTATGTTTTTTGTCCAATCAATGCCTCCTCGTGTTCAATGAAGGCGAAGCTCGTACTTCTTACCTTCGTCAGCTCGAAACCTACCTGCACAGTACGCTCTAATTGTTCAGATTTTGCTTCATTGAGATTGAGACGAAGACTCAAGAGGCGAGTCAGCCCCGCAATTCCGCTCAATCGCTCATCTCGCTCGTGGTCTGCTAGGGTCGAGGCAGGACTGACTCCAGCTACAGGCTGCAGCAGATCACGGGGCAACGACTTCTCTTTGGTGAAAGACGTAGGTTTTGCTACCGTTCTAGGCCAAAGGTATGTAACTATTTTGTCTTTTCGGGTCCGTTCCTCTCCCACTAATCTTCCGGACCCAATGCTTGGACTACTCCCGGTGCCTCGGCCCGTTGTTGAATCATTCGAAACTGAGATCTAGCCAGTCGTGATTCACGAGTAAATATGGTTCTTTCCCTTTTGAGTTGTGAGTTTCTAATTGACCGACATCTTTGTTCAGGGTACTACTAATTTGGTGAAGCTAACCTCAGGACCGATGGACCGGTTGATAGCGATCTCTCTCTCGGACGGGTTGGTGCCATAATGGGTCTTGGTGTAAATCTGTTGGTTTTGATCCCGTGGGCGTTATCACCCTCTGAGACGGAGTACGACTTTGACACGGTATGATAGAGATCGGTATGACGTGAGACCTCTGCTTTGGTATCCGTAGAGGAGTTTTGTCCGTCTATGGCTTCATACTAATAATGGAACAGACTGCACGCTGCGAGAGCATGATCAGAGCGTCGTCCAGGTTTACGGGCGAAGCGGTGGCCGTGTAATCAAAGTACTGGCTGGGTCAGCGTCGTTTTGAATATAAGGCATCTTGAGCTTACTGACCAAGCGCTGATATCGAACGAGTCAGATGAAGTCCGAGGTATTGTCCGATAGTTCCATTACTATATCTACCCTAGTGAGGATCCCTTATATACTATTGTTTTTTATGACTCCCGATCAGATACAACATGACCGTTTACCAAAGGAGCCTGTTGAGAAGCTATCTAAATCTCAAAAACGACTTAATGACCTAGTGCTACTGGTGATTTTTGCTGTTGGACCGGCCAGAGGGTTAGATTCTTCGGAGTTGCAAGAGGATTAGCGAGCTATCAGGGCTGCTTGGGGGTTTGATTATTGACACTTAGGTGACCTTGATCCAATTGTACGTCATAAATCCCGCGATTTCGGAGAGGCTTCCAGGCCATCGATTTGTAGAGGCTGGATGTACTCAAGTACTAGAACAATGTTACATATCGAGACTATGTCGTCCGTAATTAAGTATGCTAGTAAGCTATTCCATAATCGAGTGTATGCGGTAGCGTCAAATTATCCTCCGAACGATCAGGCTGAGCTCGAACCGGAGCTTCCGGATCGAACACAGATCACGATGGCGTTTCTTCCGTCGTCCGGAACCTCGTTGTGCTAAGAAGCTCCCCTCTCGCCAAGTCCAGCTGTGGTCTTTTGGGTGCACCAGCTATGCGAATGAGGAGTATAGCGTGGCTGGTCAGGATCGAATGAGAAATCCTCGCAAACCTGTAATCAACCGTCTTGAGACACACACCAAATTCGACGCCTTAGATGCAACTCACGCTGAAAGAAGATGAACTAGATCTTCCTGATAGATTGTTGAAATGTATCATCAGCATTCTGATGAATGGCGGGAGTTCAGGGGCTGGGATAGGAGAGAATCTCACTGGTAAGAGTAAGATCACGATGACGTTGATCAAAGATACGACTGGGAGAGAGGAGAAAATATCAGAATCACAGTCGTGCGTGTCTCCTCCAATTGAGAGACGATACTTACGGAAGACAAGAGCAAAGTAGAGGGCTCCTGAGACGGAAGTCAACAGTGAATATGATATGAAAACCAGAATCACCCACCGTCACGATAGATCACTTTCGTGAGCTCTGACCAACCACCCGTGCGGTCTGCTCGAGATTGGTCAATACCGGCAGACTCGAAAGACGCACGTCTCATCTTACACGCTCTGATACCTGGGATGATCATCATCAGAAATGTACCTGGGCATCGTTCAGAGTGTGCTCGTTCAGAATATTCAGAATATTTCCTTGAACGACCCACCTGTGTCGTATATCATCATCATGATCCAACTGATGAAAAGTAGATTGTTTCCCTTGATGATGAAGCAGCCCTTGTTATTGTTCGAACCGAGTGGAGGACCCCCGACTACCATCAAGGTAGGTACGACGCTTTGGAGGGAACAAACAACAAGTAGACTTACATTCCATACCAGCAATCCACCGACTGTAGAAAATACACCCAGGTACCCAGCATAACGCAGAGAACGCCACGAGAATGCAGAGAATTATTTTACTACCCCTCCAGACCGCCCATAGGCGGAAGCCTAGGGTAACTAAGCGACGAATGTTGAAAAAAAAACTGATCTTATTATCGAAAATAAAGGGACCCGTACTTTCTGAAAGGACAGTACCAACAAATGCCGACCCTAGACGTGCTTTTTAGACCATGAAATACGGCACAGTCAACGAAAGGAGGCTCCTACAGGCAGCGATTGAGGTGAGAACCCGACATAAGTACGGGTCAGTGGCGTAGAATACTTGATGATATACTTATCGGTACGGAAGTAAGTATTTGCGTTAGACAAGCATTTCATCTGACTTACGGTAAGGATGCAATACGACCGTGTCAAGGAAAGGCAGGTATCGCTGCACGAGGTACAATAGCTGGAATGAGGAGAGGGATAAAGGGTTGCTCCATATATACCTGACCTCGAGGGAGAGATGAAGAATCCAATCATAGACGAAAAATACGATTGCACAAGCTTGAGGGGAGGCTGAGATCAATAGACTCGCGGAGTTCATAAGAGTCTTACCATCCAAGTACTACAAGGAGACTGTAAGTCTCACTTTCACTCAAATGGATGGAACTTACCGAAGATAGGCGCTGGTGCTCGAAAGAGGATACAAATTGAGCTAATTCGTTCGACATTGAGAGATAGAAGGGACAAAGGAAGGTGACGCGTAAAGAAAGAAGGTGCAGCGAAGTATTGAATATTGAATGATGGCGGCCTCAGCCGTGAGTGGGGGAAGAGCTACTACCACGGCGGGTATTTTATAGCTCGAGAAATTTACCCAAGCTCGCACTAAGCAACGGATATTCCGATGGAAGACGTGAAATCATCCGATTATGAGATACATCCCCGAATCACGAAATGATAGATCATGGATCGAGGGATGGGACGAAACTGAGGTCGGAAAATGCCGAGTACGCTACGCACCTCCCTATTGATATTAGTAACCTAATAGTGCTTACTTTGAGTTGCGCTTGGAGCTATGGCAAGGTATGATCTCTGCTCTGTGGCCCCAAGGCCAACGAAGGCCAAAATAACTTCACAACGAGAATACCGTATATCAAATTTTGAATCAAGGGCTGACAGGCTGCCATGATCACGAAAAGACCGCCGATTTCCATCACTCAACATTGCTCTGGAATTGCTGTGCTGAGCCAAAAATGTTTTGAAGCTTGTTAATGCATACGAAAATCTATACATATCACCTTGGCTGGAGAAGACCTGTTCACAACGCGCGGCAACTGTAACGACAATTGTTCGTATCATCCAGTAGTCTCCGCTCCGGTTCACAACCAAAGGTGCCTCGTAGTTACGAGGGATTGAAGCCCTTTTATCTCGTGTTCAACCAAACTGGAATAATGGACAACTTTTAGTGCCATGTGTGCACTCTTCATTTCAATCGAGTTTCACCCTTTCGAACCCGGCAGTTGTGAATCTCTGCGATGGCCCGTCCTTGCCTGCCGGATGGGACAAGTAGTACAAAACGTGACGCAACCACCTTGCGCGCTGCGTCCAATCATCACCCCGCCGTCCTATCGTTTTTCACACCATCTGTTGGCCATAGGTCTCTTCACGAATGCCTCCTCGATATATTAGAGAAACGGAAGACTGGAATCCCGGTCGTTCTCGTCACTGAGCTCAGTGTGTCGCGGCAAATCAGTCTGGAACCCGGCAAATGCACGTACCATCGTCGGTTTGCTCTTCTATGTACATGCCGTTCTGACTCCTGGTTTCTTCTTCGTTCTCTATAATCTCACCTAGTATCGTGCCCTTGCTTGTTCACGGAGATTGCTTCGTTGTTGGAATATGTACGTACCCGAATATGGATGTGGCGTATGAGTGGTATTATAAGTATATGGTTTGGTCTGGCCTGTTTTGCTACGCTTTCTGACGGTTAGGCTACACTTATTCTTGAGAGCTTTCCCAACGTGCGCATTTGACTTTCCCGAGGCTCGTGTCAAGGGGCAGAACTCTGGCAAGCCCTGTATGATGTTTCTGCTAGAAGGTTGGTCGGCTCTTGGCTCTTGGCTGTAGGTTTCGGAGGCCATGAGCGTCTACAGGCGCGGATGACTTTGTCTCATGCCCTCCGACCAAAATTTCTATTAGTCAGGGCCGGCGTTGTGACGAGAGGGGGATTCGAACCCCCGCCCCGGAGGACTAGATTGGTGGACGACCTGATTCTAGCGCCTTAGACCACTCGGCCATCTCGCCATGGCGATGAACGCGTGAGTTGTCCCCCAGCTCCGCTGGAACCGTCATTGATCTGATGTATTCGATAGGCACGGTATTGCTCTGGCCTCTGTAAGCAAGGTAGCTTTGCGGGAGAGGCCGGTGTTGTTACAAAAACAAAGCTACTACGTATCAACAGTATCCCCCTCAAAGATTACCTACCAGCCGGGGTACTCCGCTTTCCCTTCTTCCCCCTTTTCTTCTTTTTCTCCTTCTTTGTTTTCGCCTCCTGTTTTTCATAGAACTCCTTCGCACGATGCCATATCTAAACACCAATTTGGCCCCTTAGCAATACTGCTACGACATGAACCAAGTGCGAGCACTAGTACTCACCGTTCCCTCATCCACCCCCCACAGACAGTAGTCCACCTCGATATCCCCATTCTTGATACGAGGGATATGCTCGTAATAAGGTTGAAGAACGTGATACCAGTCTGTCCAAATTGACAACTTGTCCCACTCCATCGTGAACTTCGTGAGGGCGGGAAGCTGGTTTTGAATCATCAGCACAAAACCAGCGCCACTCGTTCGTCTGAATGTGTCGTACAACTGGGCGCCGAGTACTTCTGTCATCTCGACATGTTGGATAGGTAGAACGTCATCGCAGGAGACGTATTCGGTTATTCGAAGAGTGAAATGCTGAATGTTCTGAAGCGCGGGTAGGTTCCCAAGGGTTTCCCAGTCAATCTCGTAGAGGCTGTAGACGTGGGCAACCGAGAAGGACAGTTCGTGGAGTTTCGGGGTGTAAGTTAAGAAGTCTTGAACACTTTCGTGCAGAACCTGAGGACCTACGCCAGGAACACGGAACTCGAGCTTCTGAATGCTGCATTTGGACGACGCGATGAGTGAAGTGACGCTGTGGTAACCATCCACGCCGCGATGTCCCATGGTAAGAACAACGTGGCTGAGCTTCGGTGCATGAATCTTCTCGACGACCTCGGCATCATCGATGACATGGAGATACGTGAGATTGGGAAAGGGCAGCCGGTCCACTTCACTTGACCACAACTCATGTCCAGGATCTTCCGAGTGGAACAGATGAACACCCCATCCCGCGTCGATTTCAAGTCGAGTTAACTGAGTCCAAGGGAAGTAAAGTCTCGACGTAATCCCAAGCCACGCCAAATCTGCATGCCTCTCGCCTTCCAGACTCCTATACCCAATAGCCACGCGTCTCAACCTCGGAGCAGACTCGACGTAGATATCAATGTCGTTTGGATCAAATTCATCGTCCTCGCCATCTGATAAATCCGACATGTCGTCTGACCCGGGTCCGTACCCCTCTGGTATCTCCACAAGGACACTGAGGCTCTCCAGTCGGGGGTACTTGAGTGAGAAGAACAGCAGCAGAGACTTTGGCTCGTCAAAGACAAGACGAACGTCTCTCCACCATCTCACACGCTCAAATAAAAGCCGCAAGCACACTGGGTGGATCGGCCCTTCAGCTTCGATCGTTAACGGGTGACCTTTTGACTCGAGCAGCACGGCAATGAGGAGCTCGATGATCGAATCCGAGTCGTCGACCATCTTCTCATCGTCTTCTTGAAAGATTACGCGTGTCCAGAGGCTACCATCCGACATGACAAGATCGTTCCATCGATTGCAGACTCTGTGAAGAGTCAAGGCAACCGATAAGAGTTGAGGGTAGTTCTCGATGAGCACAAACCAATGGAATATTATGTAGAGAAGCTCGTTGGGAAGATTGGATATAGGGGAGGATCCTGAGGTGGAGATGAGTGGAAGAGGCGAATGAGTGGCAACGCTTGCGTGCTGGGGATCGCTCGAGGATTCTGCCATGGTGAAAGACTAGGTCGATGATTTATGTCGCAAAGAGTTGAATATGTGAGTGAAGGGGCATACACCATATTCCAAGGTCAAACTCACCAAGTGGGAATGCGAATAGCTGTGAGACGCTGGTGATGGTGCAAGAACAAAGAACGAAACTGACTCTGAGCAGGAAATACATGATCCGACCACGTGTATGATCCGCGGAGGATTCGGTACCGCAAACGCTGAGGTTCCTTCTTCCTTCTTCCTCCCCTTGTGGCTTGGATCTACCGCGGACTTCGTGTGCCGTGAGCTCGTCCAGACAGTGGGGGAACCGTCTGTATGCTAGGATAAGCCCCGGACCCGGCGTTCAGTACGTGGACCATGCCGTGTAATACTGACCTATTTCGATCAATTCGAATGTCACAGGTCACACGGCCCAAAATTTTCGAAAATTTTTCGAATGGTCACAAGGTCACAGGGGTCCCATTCGAATTGCCCCACCCTGTGACACCTCCGAGCTTGCCAAATTTGGCTTCTCGGGCTCGATATTCGAATTTTTTTCGCCGCGTCACAGGTCACGGTGCGTTCATACGAATTCCCAATTTCGTATGAACCGGTCACCGGTCACAGGCCATTCGAATTGATCGAAATAGGTCAGTACACTCCTCCTCCTCCTCCCGAACACCCTCGTGATAAATGTACTATTTCAAGTGCAGACTCGTCAACTGCAGGCTTGATCGAGACATCGAAATGCGACATCCAAGCCGCCGTCCAATTCCGCGTTATGAGGGTAGGAGCTCAGCGTTCGGCTTTGATTTAAATCCATTCCCGGCTATCCCCTACAGCTCACACCCGGCATGACCAAGCTCACATTCTCATTCGTTCAGGTTCATGGTCCACTCACAAGAGACTGGAGAAAACTCGCCGGTAGGCTCAACTCACTCATGTCTCTTACATTCCACATCACCCAGCGTATTTCCTCTGACGACCTACTCGCCGAGTTAACAGAATAAACCGGGGCCATTGTAGTTGTACAAAGACTCTCAAGGACTCGGAAGAGCGAAAACACCACCACCTTCGTCAGGATGCTCGAGAGCGAGATACAGCCCCCCGTTTTAACAAAGGTCAACGTAGAGTAGGATGAGACGTATTTTGACTCTTGAACCTCGAATACCTCAAGAGAGACGTCAAATCAGGCCTGTGTACGTGAGAGGTACCCCGCCCGACCGCAATTCAATCCTCGCCTTAAGCTGCTCCCTCGTTTCAGTCGGGAGTCTGGTACTTGCTCTGTCCCCTTGTATAGGTTAAGCCCTTCTATAACAGCCTGAGGGCGAAAGCTCGAATCAACAAAGAAAAGGAGATATGGATCGAGGAAAACTTGCGGGAAGAGGGGAGCTAGTAGTGGCTCGCTGCTCAGGAAACCGAAACTTACTGCTCATGGTTTCTATCGCAAAAATGTCGGAGTCGTCAGAACTGAGAGACTGAAGTTAAGGGAAACTTCTAGGCAGCCAAGGATGACCAAGGTGAACCTCAGTAGCTGGCAAAAGTCTTCCGCCAACCTCATTCTACC